CCCAGGCCCCCAGATGGCCCACCCGGGCTTCCTGGGGATGGCAGGCTGTGCTGGACCTGTGCTGTGAGGGAATAAAGGACGTAGGCAAACTGCGCTGTGTTCTGTCTGTCCATCTTCCTCGGGGCCTTGTGGGAAGTGTGGAGCCAGGATGGGAGGGGCGGGGGGGGGCTGGGGCTGGCTGAGCTGCAGCCAGTGGGCTGGTGGCTCCTCCTCGGAGCAGACCCTACCCGCTCACAGCGTGTCCACCTCTAGTGTCCTGTGGGGACGTGTGGATTCAGAGCCCCCTACCCAACACGCAGCAAGATTTGTCCCGTTCCCCACTCCCTCTCCTGCCGCCCCTGGAGTCCCCAGGGGCCTCCTTAGGTGCTGTGGACTCCCTGCTGGGGCGGAGGGGAGGGCGGGAGCAGGAGGCACCCCTCTGGCTGGAGCTGTTGTTTCCCCACTCCTGCGCTCTCCTGTGCCTCCTCTTCGTCATGCAAGAGGGAGGTAGGCGAGAAAGCAGAGCGGGGATGCAGAGAAGGGAGGAGGCAGAAGGAGAAAGAGCCCCGAGAAGAGGTGGACCTGGGCTACACATCATGGGATCAGGAGCCTTCGGGCTGGTGCTGTGGTGTAGCGGGTAAAGCCGCCACCTGCAGTGCCAGCATTCCATATGGGCACCGGTTCGAGTCCCAGCTGCTCCACTTCTGATTCAGCTCTCTGCTATGGCCTGGGAAAGCAGTAGACAATGGCCCACGACCTTGGGCCCCTGCACCCATGTGGGAGACCCGGAAGAAGCTCCAGGCTACTGGCTTCGGATCAGCTTGGCCCAGCTCTGGCTGTTGTGGCCATTTGGGGAGTGAACCAGCGGATGGAAGAACTCTCTCTCTATCACTCTGCCTCTGCCTCTCTGTAACTCTACCTTTCAAATAAATAAATAAATCTTCTAAAAAATCAGGACCTTCCCAGGGTGGGGTGAGGCTCTGGGGCTGACCTCAGGAAGGCTGAGCATCTGTGGCCCCTTCATACCCTGTGTTTGTAGTGAGTAATCACCTCACGTGGGCAGGCTGGAGGCGCAGCTCTGAGCCACCCAGGTTGGCCTCAGCTGGCTGCTGCTAAGGCTGCCACAGGCTCCGTGGTGTTTTTCCCAGCCTGTGCATCATACCTGGAGCACCAGGAGCCACGGAGGTGCAGGCCGGTACTGCCGATCAGTGAGGCCATCAGGCTGACCAGGGCAGAGGGGCTCCCGCCCTGGCCTTTCTGCCAGGCTCATCGCCCACGTGCAGGGCTGTGGCAGGGTCTGCTGGCTCCTCCGTCCAGCTGTGCAGGCTGGGGAGTTAGCAGAGGAGTGGAGAGGGGCCGATGAGGGGCCCTGGGGCATGGAGTAGAGGGTGGGAGGAATCTAGGCTGCTTCTGAGGCCCCTGGTTTCTGGTGTGCACTGTGGGTGACTGACTCACGGGGAAGGCAGGGGGAGGGGCACCCCAACCTGCTCCAGCTCTATGCTGGGGCTGGGCTCAGTGTGGGAGAGACCACAGGAAGCAACAGGTGCACGACAGAAGCACCGCCAGTCCAGTAAGGTTTAAGGAGAGAATGGGGCTGGACCCCAGTATAAGCACCATACCCCTTAGTCCTCCTGGGTTATAGGGCTGCAGGGGCAGACCTGGGCTCCCAGCCTCAGGGTGGCTGGGCTGCAGCTGCAGAACAGAGCCTCCAGGTGGCGCCAACTCGCCGACCTCCAGGCTGGCTGTGACAGCTGGGTTGGGTAGACCGAGTGCAGTCTCTGAGCCTCACTGGGTCCTGAGCCCGGATCAGGGTGATTCCCAGGACTTAAGCCTGCGTGAGGCTGCATGAGCGTATGCAGGAGTGCACAGAGGGTGGGAACCCTCGTCAGTTAAACCAGGTCGGGGCATGGCCCTCGGTGGGCTGGCTGTTCCTCCTGGCCCTGCCCTAGCCCCGCATTGCTCTGGACCCCCCAAGCCTGACCCCTTGTGGGCCAACCCTTCCTGTTCCTCTGTCCTGTGCAGGAAGACAGGGTGAGGGGGCTGCCCCCTGAGCCGTGGGATCTTGAACCTTCTCCCCTTGGTCTGCCTGCTCTCGGGTGAAGCGTAGAGGGGACCTGGGGACCTTGGGGGTCTCTAGGGTCTCTTCTGGGGGCCCCTTGTGGGTCCCACCTGGCCCCGTGGCTGTCCCCAAAGGCAGGGGGTCCTGACCGCCGGGGGCCCGCCCTGGGGCATGCTTTCCAACAAGGGCAGGTCCCCAACCAGCTTCTGGCTGCGGGGGCTTTGGGTTTCTTCACTCTCTTCCTTTTTTTCCCTTTCCTGGATGAAATTCCTGCCAGCTCGGAAGGAAGGAGGGAAGGGGAGCGAGCCGCGGCGCAGAAACTTTCCTTGGCTCCTCCTCCGCCTGTCTCCCTCCCTTGCCAAGCCCAGCCTGTGAAACCGAATAACGAAGATCGCTCAACAATGCCTGCCCCTCGCTGACTGCGCCGTCCCCGCGCTGCCGCCCAGGCCGAACAGAGCCCGCGGGGCCGTCCCCTCCGACGGCGCAGCCCGCCCGCCCGCCAGGTGCCCGCAGCCCGGCCGCCGACATGCCCAGCCCGGCCGGGCTCCGCGCGCTGTGGCTGTGCGCCGCGCTGTGCGTCTCGCCCGGTGCCGCCGCCGCCTGCCCGGCCCCCTGCCACTGCCAGGAAGACGGTATCATGCTGACCGCCGACTGCTCGGAGCTCGGGCTGTGCGCCGTGCCCGGGGACCTGGACCCCTTGACGGCTTACCTGTGAGTACCCGCGTCTGCCGGCCGCAGCCTAGCGCACCTGCCCGGGTGCGCCCCGTGGCGTGGGCATCCTGGAAAGCGCTCTCCCCTGACCGACCGCGGGGGACTGGGGATAGTACTGCGCTGGGTCTCCCAGGCGACCCTGGGCTTGGGGTGGGGTGGGGATATGCTCCCCTGGGAGCCGAGCAGGTGGGCTCTGGACCACGAGCAGGAGGGACTCGGCTGGCTGCCTCTTTTGCTGCGATCTTGTCCAGGGAGCAGTGCCCAGGACAGGCTGAGAGCAAGGCTGAGCGCCCTGGTGGTGGAGGAACCGGAGCTGGGGGTACGGAGAGATGACGCTGCTCTCCTGCCAGGACTGAGCGTCTTCCTGGAGGGGTCCCAGAGACTGTCCCCTCGGAAGGGGCTCCACCAGCACCAGCTCCCTTCACAGAGGCCTCCCGGATCCCCAGGGACCTCCCTGAAGTCCTGTCCCGGGAGGCTGTGTTGGAGACGCTAATTTGTGGGCAGGAGCCGAGGCTGAAAACCAGAGAACATTTTTAGAGTCTGAGTTGGGGTGAGATGGTGCGTGAAGGGGTCCCTGGTGGGGCAGCTCTCATGAGCACAGCTCCAAGGAGCTTCTCCCTGCGGGCCGGCAAGGGGGTGGGGGGGGCTCCTGCTGCTCCACACCTGGGCAGGAGGAGGAGGTGAGAGCACATTCCAGACCACCTACTCCCACCCACCCCACCCCCCCGGGGGGATGGGAACCCGCCCCAGCCTTGCCCTGCCCAGGTGCCTTGCCTTTTCCCACAGGAGGCAGAGCAGGTGGGCAAGGCTGGGGACAGCTGCCCAGGGGAGGGTCCCTCCGGGCTAGGGGGAGACCCCATCCTGGCTTCAGGGCTCTGAGGAAACAGGAGCTACACTGCTCAGAGCCAGGCAGGGCGCTCTGGGTTGGCAGTGCCCTGGTGGGCGTGGAGGCTCCGCATGGCAACAATGCTCCCAGTTGGTTTGTCCTCTTCTAGTCCAAAGGCACAGGCTGAGGGCCAGGGGAAGGAGCGAGAGGGAGAGAATGATGTCTGTGTTCCCGAAGGGCAGAGCGAGTCCTTCACAGCGCAGGGGCTGATGGCAGAGGCAGACTGGAATGCCAGCCGGTGCGGGAGCGGAGCCGGCACCCCGACTCCCCAGGCAGTCCCACTTTGCAGTTTCAGACCCTGGAGGTGCGAGACTTTGTTGCACTTGGAGACAGGGTTGTGTGGCTCCAAACAGCTGCAGGCTGCTCTGCTGAGCTTTTCCATAGGGGGGGCAGAAGAAGGGTCCCTGGCCTGGGATAAAGAGGCAGGGGCTACAGGGCTGTCCACACGGGCTCAGTTCGAGTGGAAGAATTGGGGCGGGAGGCACAGTGCCACGTTTGGGGTCCAGGTGCCCCGCTGACCTTCCCAATGCCTTGTCCCAGCTCCCCTGGAGCTCTGAGGTCTTCCTGGGCTCAGGGAATGTGGGGTCTTCCGAGGGCATCCTTGGGTGCTGTGTGGGGGTCTTTGGGGGAGCAACCTCTTCCTTGTGGTCTCAAGAGGCCGCCTGGGGCCTCCGAAGGTGGCGTGGGTGAGCGTGTTCATGGAGGGGAGCCCAGGCAGGGAGGTTTTGGGACTCCCCTCCCTTGCTGGCAGCACCGGCAGCAGCTGGCTCTTGCATCCGGTGACACAGCCAGCCATATTTCTCTGATGGGTCCACTGCTCCTTGGTCCCTTCCTAGCTCTGCCGCTCACTGTGTCACTGCGACCCCAGCCTCAGGTTCTGCCAGTGTACACAGGAAGAAGGGAGGGTGCCGGGAAATCAAAGCTCCCAGCATGGAGCCCGGTACCTCCAGGGGTGACGCGTAGGTGGTGGCCATCAGGACCCTGCCTCCTGTTGGGTCTAGCAGAGCTGCAGGGAAGCCAGCAGGCCTGGCGCACTGGAGGGAACCAGCCCAGTGCGTGAGCGCAGGCCTCAAGGAATGCTGTGTGGTGGGAGACAGAGGGGTGTGTGCTGGGGAGGGTGTGGGTAGCCAACTGCCTTTCTCGATGCTTGGATGGTTCTGGGGGCCTGGGGTCCAACTTGTGGGGGTGAACACTGGGGACTGGAGGAGGAAGGGGTACACGGTCAGGAAGGAAAGAAAAAGATTAAAATGCTTCCATGTGCAGGAAGCAGCGGGTCGGAGAGTTCTGGAACATCCCTGGACAGAGCCATGGAGGGACCCGCAGGAGACACCCATGGGTGCCTTACACACTCCCCGCCCCACCCCAGCCTATCCCTCCCTGATGCAGCCGCCGACACTGCCTGGGTTCTGCGGAGGACGAGGACAGAAAGTCTTCCTATCCAGCTGCAGTAGGGGGCTTTGACACTCAGAATCCACGGCTGCCTCGGGGCCGGGCTCAGAGGTGCGGGGTGGAGGTGGGGGAAGGCTGGCAGACAGACTTCAATTACTCGCAGTCCCCGGAGGGTGTCTCTCTTTTCCGAAGTCGCCTCCGCGAGGCTCCTGGAGACCCACTGGGGCTGGCTCCAGGGTGAGCCTGGGAGGAGATGGAGCCCCCCGCTCTGGGGCGATGTGTTGGGAACAGGGAGGCTGACACCTCCCGCTCTGTCTGGCCACATCTGCACGTGGTGAGGGGACAGGAACGGACACACGGCCCAAGGTCGCCGGGCAGTCGGGGCCGGGTTGCTTCTGAGCAGGGGAATCCGGGCAGCTACTACGAGTCCCTCTTGTCCAGCGTCGGGGAACAGGTGCTAAAAGGAGAGCAGCCGGGGCAGCCGTTTGTCGCCGGCCTGAGGCTCACACCCTCGTGGGCACCCTCCAGCCCCGTCCCTGCCACTCACTGCCGCCAGGGCTAAGGAGGGGCCTCGCCTCCATGCAGCCCCTGCCCCAGGCTGCTCGCCACTCCCCTGAGACCTGAAATGACATTGAGCTTGCTGGAAAGGTCGGACGGTGTGTGTGTGTGCGTGTGTGTGTGTGTGTGTGCATGCACTTGAGGATGTGTCGGGGAAGGTGTGTGTGTGTGTGTTTGGTATGTGTGTGTGTGCGCTTGGGGCAGGTTGTGTGTGTGCTTGGGGCAGATTGTGTGCTTAGGAGGGTGTGTGTGTAGAAGGGGTGTGTGTGTAGAAGCATGTGTTTGAGGAGGGTGTGTCTGTGTTTGGGGCAGATTGTGTGTGTTTGGGGAGTGTGTGGGGAGGGTGTGTGCATGTTTGGGGAGGGTGTGTGTGTGTGTGTGTCTCTGGGGCAGATTGTGTATGTGTGCTTGGGGAGGGTGTGTGTGTGGAAGCAGTGTATGTGTATAAACATGTGTTTGAGGAGGGTATGTATGTGTGTGGGGGGAGGGTGTGTGTGTGTTTGGGGGAGGGTGTGTGTGGAAGCGGTGTGTGTGTCTAAGCGTGTATTTGAGGAGGGTGTGTGTGTGTGTGTGTGTTACACGCTAGGTCCTGTTTCTCACCTCCAAGGCTCCCTTGTCGGCTGCAGTCTAGTAGATTCTAAGCGCCTGTGCCCTGCTGCTGGACGCCTGGGCACAGGGAGTCCTGACCCTCAGTCTCTGGGTCCTGGGAGCCGCTGTGCAAATCCTACAGCTCTGGGCCTCAACCTCCCCACCTGGCGGCTGCCAGTCCGAACAGTGGGAGAGGCAGGACGGAGCCCGGGGAGAGCCGCCATCGGGGGCGTGTGAGAAGAGAGGGCAGAAGCCAGGCCGGCAGCACCCAGACCAGGCCAGGGAGAAGGGCGAAGCAGGGTGGAGGGATTCCAGGAAACGAGGTTCTCTGGGCCCTCCCGTGCCAGCCTCACTCCAAAGTGCAGCCTGGGGGCCGGGCAGGCCCATCCCCCGGCAGACTGGGGGGCCGCCAGGGGAGGGTGAGTGTGTGTGGGAGCCAGCACCCCAGTTCAAAGGCAAGGCAGGAAACAGCCCCAGGCAAAAGAAAAAGGAAACCTCTCTGCTCTGGCAGCAGCGGGCAGGGGCGCGGCTGGGTGGGGCAGCGGGGAGAAGAAAGCTTGGCTCGGGGCAGAGCTGGCCCCCGCCCGCCCCACCCGCCCGCTGACGGCCCCAGTCGGGAGAGGGGTGCCCAGGGCCCAGGAGAGGGCATCAGAGTGGGGAGCCCCTGCCCAGGGAAGGGCCCTGGGTGCGGGCACCCGGGCGTGGGCACCGATGCTGGGCTTGGCTCCACCGCCATCACGCAGAGCGTCTGCTCCCATCTCTGTCCTTTGCCGAAGTGCCATGATCTTCCCGTGGAAACACCAACGGTGTCTGCCTGCAAGGCCACCGGGGCCACCCAGGAGCTGCACTGCAGGGCAGGGACTTAGGACCCTGGCCTCATCTTCTGGAGCCCAAAGGGCCGCCCCCTCCCCTTGACCTTCAGGGCAGCCACTCTGGGGGCCAGTGCCACTCTCAGGCTGGGCTGGGGGAGGAAGTGCCCCTCCCCACAGGGGTACCTGCAGGAGCCCTAGGGGCGTGGCGCTCTGCAGAGAAGGAGGGGGAGGGAGGGTCTGGGCTTCCAGGTCAGTGCTGTTTGTGGGGCAGGCTCCTCCTGGGAAAGGCAGGGTGGACAGGTGGCTTCTGCCAGGGTGAGTCCGGGGTGTTGCCCCCAGTGGACCGTGTGACTTACTCTAGGGGCCAATGAAGGCCAAGGGCTTCTGCTGGGCTGCGGACCCCTGGGGAAGGTGCGAGAGGGGGTGGGGAGAGGTTTCGGGTGCTCCCCCGCCCCTGCTGGAAGTGACTGGGCTCGCTGGGGCTGAGGAGGCCTCGCTTTCCCCCACTGTGGTTCAGGTCTCTCCTCCCGCCCCTCAGATGTGGGAGAACAGGTCCCAGGAGGAGAAAAACAGCCCAGAGACCAAACTTGGGCAGTGAGCAGAGAGTTATTTTGGAAGCAGCAAAAGGACATGGCGGGGAGCTCAGGGGCTGGCACCGCGCCCCCCCTGCCCCCGGCACCTTGCCAGGGCTGGCAGCCGGCAGGTGGGGGCTGGGCCTGGCTGTTCCGCGACAGGGCACCTCCGGGGCTGAGGTCTCCATGCCTCCA